TCGATGGACCTTAAAATTACAGTAAAAATTCACCTTATTAATTTGTCAGAACGGGAACCCCACTTTTTGAAGTGAAGCAACTAACACTCGAGAAATACATGAGACAGTTTGAATTTTCGTAATTAAAATAACATTAGTCTATTGAATACATCACCATATATAAATATTTTTACATATGCCGTCTAGGGGTCATGGTTCGGACACAACCTTCTAAATAGACATGTAAGTTGGGGATATAAGGGAGTTGTTATTGTTATTATGATTCAATACTTTTTAGTACGTGAATCACGATAAGGTTATAAAGAATGTGAACTTCAAGTAATGACTGTGAAGAAAAAGGAATACAGAAAACGGCAACTCTCCTGTGCTGAACGAACTAACTTAGGCAAAAACTTCACTGAACATCTAGTTTTAACTATAAGTGTTCCTTTTTTTGTTGTGTTTGTAAGTTGTTGATTATTCGCAAAAATTATCTCACTCACTCCTTTCTGTGCATCCGCAGTCCCCGTAGCTACGGTGGGTACATGTAAAGCCCTCTGCGGTGTACGCGGCAGATCGTCGCAGGAAGATTCCGGCTCCAAATCGTCCAGGATCATGGCATTACTGTTGTTTACCATCAGGGAAGCCATGCTAGGTACGAACCATTCCGCTTGATGCTCCACAGATGGAGGTGGCACTCTTTTCTGCTTGGATGGAACAACCGGAGAACCAGAAACGGTATCATTTAGGTCCACCTCATCTTGATCATGATCTGGGGTCCATNGGTCCATGTGGCTCGGCGTACCAGTTTGTTTATCGGGGATTGAGGGGTTAGTTTGGAAAAGTTCCCTGATTTTTCGCCCGATCGATTGACTTTCTCCGACTCATAGGGATATGCGTACCAGGCAGGACTTGGACTAAGAGGACTCGGTGTTGGGTCTTTCTGATCCAAACTGCCGCTGACCAGTTGGGAAGTGAGTAACTGAGCCCTGGAACAAAGCAGACGGACAATATGAAACGAGCAAGTCACAGTAAGACATCAGAACGAAACAAGCTTAGCTAAGCATAAGAAACGAGGAAAAACGAAAGTAGGCCGTACATTTGGAAAAAACCCGACTGGAGTAAAAAACATTGAAATAATAAAAAGCGACTGTATCAGTTCTGCAAGTTTGAATCGCAACCTAAATTGTCATGTTACTTCTCATACACGCATGAATGCTATCGCATATTTTGAAGAAATTCGGCTCAAGGATTATCAATCCATTCGAAAAGAAACGTGTTGTACTAATAGAGAACGTACATTCCTCCAGAACATTCCGAACTAATGTAGTTAGATATCACGCACGTAATTTGGAAACAATGAAAATTACATTACTCCTGAAAACCATTCATATATATATATATATGTATATATATATATCCCAGACACAGTAGACAAAAAATATCCTAAGGTGTATTAAGATTCAAACGAAATCCCGATAATCGTTCAGTTTATCTGCTTTTCCTCATTTTCCCATTTGTATCCCGCTCCGCATTCTTCCTAGATTTCGACCACTGTCGCGATGACACCATATGTGTTTTCGAGACGCACAGAAACGAGCAATGCGTTCAACCTGATGAGAAACCAACTGGCAGTTTACACACCAAAATGTTATTTTACCAAAAGTAGCATTTACCCAATAACATCTATCAGAAACATTGAACTACAATACAGAAAAGTAAATATAATTCGGTAGATTAGAAACAATGAGGGAGTGCCGGATGGGATGCAGGAATCAAGATAAAATATGATCGAGCAACTGTCCATGTGTTCAGGAATATGCAGAATAGCACAGACATAGAAAGGCGTGTTTAATCCATGGAGAAATACGTACTTCACTTGTTGCAATTGGGTTTCCAAACGAGCAACTTCTGCACGAAATTCCTCCCGCTCCAATTCCCGTTCGTCCGTTTGTTCCTCGAGAAAACGTTCCTGTTTGATGTGAGCAAGGATATAAAATGTACTCAAATGATGAGTTGGAGAAATCATACAGTTCCATCTTTGTTCGCTGAAACAAATCAGAAGTACAATGACAGAATCCACAAACGTGTCCAATGTGCGCACATCTAATCCGACATCAAATGCACGATAAACATAGCCACGGTTTGTGGAGTCAACCTTATCATGGTAAATCGCGTCAGGAATCCGATTTAAAAAAATTACTCATTCGATTTGGGACAAGTTCCTTCAAACGAGTAAAAAAATAAGCTGCCAGAGAATAATAACGCGCAATAAGCGCTGACTATGACCAGAGCAACCACACCAGACCTACACACACGTAGGGTTCATATAACTACAAAAACAGGCTCAGATCCCGGGAGGCCATAGGATGAAAATTTGGCAGGATGTACAAAATCAGAGAACCGTAAAAAGTAATCCGTTCAAATCGGATATTGGTGTGGATGCCAGCAGACGCAGATGAGTACGGGATATCGATCGACGCAAACACACAAAGCGGAACAAATTAAGACCCTGGAATGAAACGGAGCGATAATCAGGTGTCCGTCGTGTTACCTGAGTGTTCCCATAACCTTCGGGGTCGGATTGTTCGACATTCAAACGTACCAACCCAAGCAGAGNTTTTCAACTTGTTCTAACAAATAAATGATCGAGAAATTAGAAACAAAGACTAAGAGAGTGTAAAAATGAAACAGTGTGGCGCAAGCGTTCATGTGTGACCAGATCTGATGAATATGAAGATTTTAACGCGCACAAAATATGAGCGGATCCATAAGGTCTGAATGTACTGCTCAATAAAGTAATGTCCTGTGCGAAATTTTGCATCAAAGACGGGTTAGACAGGATTATCGAATCACATTATGTGTGGTCGTCATCTTAACTCCAATCGCTATTCGTATACGAATCGATGAGTGAAAAAGATTTCTATTGCGCAAATAAGGAACAAGACCTGTGGTTTACTGAGTTTTTTGGAGCGTGGGGAATAAATTGTACTCATATGTGTGATTTAGTACAAGTGCAAATTCTAAGCCATGAACTGTGAGTGTACTCACACGTAACCAGATTGCCAGCCATGTTTCACCATGTGTCACTGTGTCAAGACCGATCTATTTTCCCACGGCATCCAACGAGAATGCGTGATCTGTGTTCCGTTTTCTGTATCTTTCCCCTAGTCTACTTTGCAACCCATGAGAACAAGTAACGTATACAATCTATGAGAAAGAATCACAGTAATTCCATCTAGCATGGCTCACATGATCAGGGCATTCTGAGGATTTCTGGGGTCAAATAATTTGCGGAAAGCAAAAGGAACGGATTACACGTGAGAAGTGTGCAAAGTGACATTCATTTAGACAAATGGGAGGAACGAAGTCGTTCGGGCGTATATATATATATATATATATATATATATATAGTGAATCGGATCAACTGGTGTGTGAAAGATATCAATGACAAGTTGTGCTCATACGAGACTGTGGCGTACGTATGAAATAAAATTACATGCGTTTTTTAATTGTTTGGATTACCAATACTTCTCCACTAGATATCATTTGGATGAGGAAATGGGGGATGAAGATGATAACTTTATTATATCATTCTTCTTATCTTCGTCACATATACTGGTGGACCTAACCGACTCTAAGTTTAAAAAAATCGTGCTCGCAGTGTGTAAACTCAAAAAGATTTACGTTGTGGCCCTGGCGAACCTTTAGTCAGCGGCCGATCGGGTTCTATCACACCTGCCCATCCTACACACGTGTTCACATTCGTTGATTCAGTCATGTGACACAGAACACATAAGCATGCACACTGTGACAATGCTTACCAGTCATGCGACGCCGACACGCACTAGGACAATGCAACCAGTCATATGACCATACACGTACTTACCGCGCCTGTCACCTCACCACTCTGACCCATTCGCGCATTCATGATCCCAGCCAATCAATGTGCTTGACCTTGTGACATTAACCCGTTAGTCTGGGTGATTAGGGTCCCACACAATCGATTGCGCACCGGACTATTACGTACGACCTCTGTGGATTATATTACATTGTCTATTTACGCGGACTCGGGAAATCTTGATGTGAGTATTTACCCTTTCACTATCGATGTACGACAATGGCCTATTTACGTGTACTAAATGTTAGTTATTTATTTCTTACAAAACCGCATTGATATTCATATACGTATCCCGTACGATAAGGTGCTTACGTTTTGCTCAACTCAACCCGGATTGTGAATAATCAATCGAGTAATCAGACCGAGATAAGATTTACGTTAAAGGAGATCCACGGAGCTAACACAGTGGATGATGATGTTGATTATGGATTGCTTCTAAAATGAATAGTATTGGGACTCCACGAATGATTCACTAGTTAAAACCGTGCTGACAGTGAACATGTTTGTACATGATATCCGTGAAAGGATCGTCAGACTCAATGGTATGGCCATGCGTGCTTTGCAGTTTGAAATTGTAACGTGATGATGGTGGTGGTATTTGCTCAATCACGACCTGGTGGCAATGATGTAACGGAAATGCTGTTTTGGAATATATAGTGCACGCGATCCGCACTGGACAGGGTTAGTGAGCAAAGGAACGAAACTCATGTGTAAGGTTAAATGGACAGATTGATGTACAGAAGAAAAAATACATTGAACGGAAGGAAAAGAAGAAATGAGACCGGGCAACATTTTTCATATTTTCGGAAAGATTGCAACAAACATCGAACTTACTTTGGCTTGAAACTTTTGTGTCAGCACGGCCAATTCGGTGCGTAGCTGAACGTTGGCAGCCTCTGACGAAGCCAATTGTTCCACAAGAGCTCGACGACTGGTCTCCAGTTCAGTCAACGAAGAGGTGTGATTCTGTTCGAACAATACCATTCGGCGTTCAAGTTCAGCCTGAAGTTGTAAGCGTTCTGTCTCAACCAGCTGAGTTGTATCGGCCAGAGCTGAGAAGAGTACAGTATCAAGTATGAGTGAATACGGATGATCAAACCTAATCAATAAAACCATATATATATATATATATATATATTATATGTATATAAATAACATTTATATTTCACACACGTCTGACGCCAGACTGTGTGACAAACAAATCAAGGAACAATAATCTTTATGAAAAGAAAAAAAGTTCCATGATAGATCCCAGAGAGCAGTCAAACATATGATGCTGTATCCAATAACACTGCATCCCATGCTTTGGAGTATCAGTTGTCACTTTTTGCGGTATGCATATGTTAAACCTTCGACTGGTTCAACTGTTCGATTTCATCCATCGTTACTTTCTATCGCACGTTCTATAATTGATTCTAATTACTACATGAATTTAATACCGGTGAGTGCNTGATTGATCAATGTGCTGCCCTGTGAACTGATACTATTAAATAAAAGCACGTTTTATTCTTTCATCTCTATTTCTGTTTATCGATGACCAATTGTCATTAAAGCTGTACGAGAATAAACCAAAAACGGCAAAACGAAAGCAAAATCACTGAATGTGAAACGTGGGAACGGAATTCACAGAATACGACTTCGATGAAAACAAAGAGGAAAAGGTCAAACATACACATCCAAGCCTCGATATGATACCTCTCTGGGTTGTATAACAGACTTGTTGTCAAAATATGGTTGCGTGGGAGAAGGGGTTAGCAATCAGGTCAAAGATAGTCGAAATTCTCACGGCGCGCGGAGCAGGCAAGAAAATGGAGCACAAAACGTGGACCCGACAAACCATAAACAACGTAGACGTTTCGATAGCTGGGGTGCGATAAGAACTACTGACCGCTCATTCAAGACAAATAGGCTTAGGGAGGGTCAGTTTATCTTCAAAGAGATGTTCCAAAAGAAATTGAATCGATAACTGCACCCACCCCTTCCCCAGGTTTTATTTAAGTAGACACTATGGTTCGGTAAACACGACACCATACAATGTGACATATTTTTCATCGAAAGATATAGGCCGCATAGTTGTTCTGTTAGACTTAACACCCATTGACGAAGTAATCATAAACCATTTACGATTAGGGTATTGTGCATTTTCGGTGAAATAACCAAACAAACAGTGAAGAGCTTAGAAGTGGAGCGTTGTGCTGTAGCCGTCCTTTATTGACGCGAATACTGGAGTCTCCTACTGTAAGCTGGATGTCGCATACACTTCTGATGTCCCAGATAGATCTCCGCAGTTGATCATGTTTGGCAATGTAGGTAGCGATTGAAAGCAGATGGTGATCGGATCATAAGTGTGGGTGAATATATGAAAGCTAGTTTTGGGATATTCCATCCCCTTGATACGACTTTCTTATAACGGAGGTCATCAAGTTAAGTAACAAAGTCTAGGTCCCCATGATTAAACAGTGGGGTTCCGTGATCATGGGAGTTATCCCCTTTCCACTGCTTAGTGCACTGAAAGGTCGTAAGAAAAAGATTGACATATTTACTCATCCTGTGCAACCATTACCTTGCCCGTCCATGCTCCAGTTTTGCTCGTTGTCTTTTGTCAATCCATCTGATTAACCGAAGAACAAAAGATTGAAGAAATTTTATGAAACCAGTGGGGTGTGAAGTGTGGAAAGTAACAAGTATGTGCAAGGAAAATATATGAGCGCCACTGATAACGAGCCCCAGCTATATCACATAATAGCTCTAGTACAGATTCAGCTGTTTCCAAGAACACCATCTTAGCAGGTCGAAGGAAACCGATACGACCAGTTCCAAGGGACAAGGCTTTCGAAGTTTCCCGTCATGTCATCAACTAATTACCTT